ATCATTGAGCTTGCTTTATACAATTTTCTGGCATGGTCTAGTGGTTAGGCCACTTGACTGATAATTGGTGGTTCTCAGGTTCGAATCCTCTTCACAAAACATGCTCGCCCTTTTAGTCGTGGGGACATTATAATGTGAAGGTTAATGCCACTATTCGGTGGTAAAAGAGTAGTCCAAGAATTGGCGATGAATGGAGTTGACTAGTTGCCTTCCCTCTAGTCTATAACTGCTAAATTAGGGACAGCTAGCGCAGATAGCCCTCGAGTGGCTTTGCGCGAAATTCAAAAACAAAACCAAATCAAACAAAACAATTATCACTATTAGAGATAAATAGCAGTAACAGAAGTTTCACTCTACTTTACAAAATCGTGACTATGTTAGGCCTAATTTCCATAAAATAATACCGTTAACATTATTCTGTAAGTTATTTGGAAAAGGTTCACTAAGCAAATTCTCTTTACGACCACTGCTCTTGTCATCTCTAATGGTGAGAGTACTCATAATGAATCCTTTAAACATTATTAAGTGCAAAGTCATCACTTACCTTTTATGTCGTGTCATCATCGTTAGAGTAGAAACAAACAGGGAAACTTTTATTTTACAACCTAATGTTTTCTACGAGAGTTTTATTTCACAGTTTATAAGCATTAACAAGATTAATTTTAGAAACGTTGAATTACTGAGACAGCTCAGGATTTCATTATGAAAGGAATCAAAATAAAGAGATTTCGTTTTAGAATTATTTTCTTTGAAAGTGAATGAATGAATGTCAGATTCAAACTTAGTAAAACAGGCTAAGCTATCTGTACAAAATATAAAATAACGTGGACTTAACTTCTGCTTGTTTAAAAGCTGTGTTAGTTTATATCGATATTCAACCTTGTTAGAATTTCACAATGAAAAGTTCTTGTAATAATTAAAAAAAAGAACTGCATAAGTAAGTTCACATTGGTTATAAACGACTTACTTAATTCTTTTAAGTTAAGCACAACTCTACACAATGGGCTATCTGTGTTCTGCCCACCACGGGTATCGAAACCCGGTTTATAACATTGTAAGTCCGCAAACATGCCGCTGTGCTACTGGGGGGGGGGGATGAACTGAAATGTTATATCCAAGTCTTAATCCCTATACGTAGTATCCTAGATGAAATCAATTTTAGAATACAATAGCACAGATAGTCCATTGTGTAGTTTTGAGCTTAAGAACAAACAAGCAGTACTTTAAAATGTATATACGGAAGACATGTGGTAACAGTAACACAGTGTTTAGTCTTAGCTAAGTTTAAACAGAAGGAAAGTTTTAAACACACGAACAGTATTTCCTGTTCTAATCAACTGCGAAAAACACATCGTGTTTTATAACATTATTTTCTTTATTTGTACAATGTTTGTCAGTCCCCAATAGCATGACTCGATGATCATGTTAAAGTTATGGACATGACTCTAAATGTTTCCTGAGAAATCTACTAGTCCCGCACCATGACTAAAACACCTACTAACATAGCACATGGGTATTTTCGGTTTCGTTAACTACCTATATTACGCTTGCCTATTGATTGATATTTCGTCTAAGATTATTCAACTTACTTTCTGAAAGCAGAACGAGATATTAATAAAGTAAAAGAATTTGTGGAGAGCTGTGTAAATTCTAGAACTGCAATATCTGCAGTAATTAAGATGGATGAGAATATTTTAAGCTATGAAAACGTTCCTATTACGTACAATTTTTGCACTAAGAATTCAAATGTTTTAGGAAGAACGAGTTCTACATTAAAAAAAAAAGACTCATAAGCTTCGTTTTGTCAGAACAACTGGGAAGTTTAAGGAAGAACAACTTGAAGGAGGCCCATTTCATTTCATGTGATTTATTTTATCTTTTCTAGTTATGGCCCCAAGTAACTTGCCGTATTCCCGGTTGCGCGTAGCCCTGGTTAGAGCTCCACCCGCACCCCCACCACTACCCCCGAATCTCTAGAAGATTAATATTTAAAACTCAGATTTCGTGAAATTTTTAAAACCAAAATTTTTCACCCACTTCATCTTGTTTGCATGCATTCAATAAAGTAAATACACATGTTTAATGTAACATTAAATTCTGAAATCTGCGTTTATACGAAAAATATTTATCATTTAGATGCATGGTATATTATGGAGTTATATAACAGCCTGTTCGAATCCGTAAAACTCGAAAATCGGTAGGGTTAAACTAGGTTAGATACCTTAGGGAAAAAAAAAGAGTTTACAGAATTTCTAAACCTTTTATTGTTGCTGTTGAGGATTTAGTATTCAGGAATTACAAATTTTATTGTTGCAGTAGCTTAGTTGACTAAAATATTTGTCCATCGAGCAGTCTCGAGTTCAAATCTACCACCATCTCATTTTTTACTTCTTCAGAATATTTCTATATCAACTTAAAGTTTAATAATAAACTATGATCAGAATCGAACCTTTTTTTTTCTCTTTAAACTGTAATGTTCCCGCCCATTATTTAGATTTATTTCTATCTGATCTTACATTGTAACCAGATAAGTGTTTTCTAGCATGTCTAAAATGGAATACATCCTTTATTATTATTATTAGTATACATCTCTTCCGCTATATAGGCTAATCTTAATACAGGATTTTTTAAAGTTTTTGTGTAAATCTGTGTTGTTTTTGTGTGCGATGTCAATGACATCTGATACAGAAAAAGTATTAGCCTTTCAAAAGTTTGTTCCGAGATTTTGCTCAAACCAACGCTGGTAAATGAACGATCCGGTCACACAAAGAGATACGTAATTCCCAGAAAATCTTTATAAAACCTAAAATTGAACTTCTGGAAACTGTAAAAGCGCTTTTGGTGCTTGTTATGCAAGAAGAACTCATTAACAGGTCACTTAAATAATTCACAAAGAACTCATTAACAGGTCACTTAAATAATTCACAATAAACCATTAATAGAAAGTTTATATAATGCAACACGAACCATTAATAGGACGCTCAAATAATTGCGAAATACCATTAATAGAACGCTTAAATAAATCATTTGATTTCTATTGTAATTACAAATCTGTCAAATTACTTTGCAGATATTTCCTCAAGCTCAAGTTTATTATGATTTTCAAATATAATGTCAAGATTTATATGAGTAATTTTATTTCATGTGCACAATGAAACACTTTAATACTTGAAAGCAAAGACGAGTTACATCAAAACGGTTTGTTTAAAACTCAACACATGTTTAAAACGCTGTCTCTCCACAGTTTCGAAAATTATGGTACAAACTTTATCAAACAGAGTCAAGATTTATCTGATAGTTTATTGTAAACTAAAGTCCAAACATATGTCATATCAACATAAACAGAAATGTTTAACATTTTGAGTTTTTTCCATCAATAATATTAACCCTCGCTGCAACTCATAGAAAAGATGGTGGTCGCCCTTCAACAACAAAGAATAACAACATGACGTTTAGATCAGGATCTTTCGGGTGTCCTCCAATGGGTCAGCGGTAGGTTTACGGATATATAACGCTAAAATTCGAGGTTCGATTTTTCGTGATGGACAGAGCGCAGGAAACCTATTTTATAAGTTTGTGCTAAAACAAACAAGGAAAATCCTTTTGATTTTCTTCGCTTAATTGTTGAATTTCTAATAAACTAAATCATAACACCAACTATATTTCATAAAACAATAGCATTATGTATGCTTTAAACATTACATTCTTTATTCGGTCTCTTAAGATTTCGGCCCCCGGGTGCTTACGGCGCTCGACTCGCAATCTCCGTCCCACCAAACATGCTCGCCCTTTCAGCCGTGGGGGCATTATAACGTTACGGTCAATCCCATTATTCATCGGTAAAAAAGTAGCCCAAGAGTTAGCGGTGGGTGGTGATGACTAGCTGCCTTCCTTCTAGTCTTTCACTGCTAAATTAGGGACGGCTAGCGCAGATAGCCCTCGTGTAGCTTTGCGCGAAATTAAAACCAAACTCTTACTATTTATTTTCATGGATAAGAATGTGTATAACCACACCATGTTCATTATATCTAGGGTACTAGAGGGCGCTACGGAAGAAAGAAGGTGTTGGATAGATAAGCTGTTATACTGTTATATGTTTTTGAATAGTATTTAATATTGATTTCATCGTTTGTAGTAATTTGGGCTAAGTAACAAAAGAATAACTAGGTTTAGAAAGATTGGTAAATAATAGGGTTAAAGTTTTAAATAAATGCTTAGTGGTTTAATTTCACTACGACATGAGATTAAATGTAGGACGTGTAAAGATACTTTTACTAGTTTGAGGTTAAACTGTAATTCGCTTTACTGGTAAACCGTAAAACAGATTAAATACATTGTTTTATTAAACAAATCCGATCTAAAGACCAGTTAATTGTATTTTCTTGTTTTAAGGATTATCTTGAGTGCTCAAAGTGGTGAGTAACGCGGGGGTACGTGTACCCCACTTCTATAATTTGGCATTTTGCGTATCGTCACTTCTTGTGCATGATCATTCCATTGCATTGTGTTTAAGACTTGTTCAATTTCCAACGTATCAAGAGCTTGGAATCAGTCAGAGTTGCCAGAAATATCAAATTTCTTAATCTATTTACCTATCCTACTTGTTTGAAAATAAATTCTCATAAAAAATTATTATGCTCAAACAGTGTTTTTTTTTCTTGCAAAGTTTGTATACTTAGTACTTTTGGTGCATCTTTGGTACAGTAAGATGGTACTTTTGAAACGAATATTTGATAAAACAGATTAGTATCGCAGGTTAGTTGGGTACGGCCGTGACACAGCCAACTCTGAAATTAGTTGCTGCTAGTATACTCGTGAGAACAATTTCGTCATCGCCGTAATTCGTGCAGGACTTTAATAACTTTCGGAATACTTTATGTGTACTATGTACCTGTGTTCACGTGTACACTTTCCTTTCTTACTTCAAAATAAGTGACAATAAAATTTGTCATGGATAAGTAGATCATACAAAAACGTAAAGTTGAATCTGATGTTGAAAGGCTTGCATCAAGTTTGGTATCCGTAACTGAAGAAATCAATATTTGTGAACACAGTAAACACACTGATGCAAACATCGGAAAAACAACCTCAAATGCCTCTGTACCCGATTGTGACATGACTGATATTCCTAAGTGTTGGTCCTGTGATCAGTTTAAAGAAAAAATGCGTGAATATGATTGGCTTTACACAAAACAAGGTAAACTTGTTTATCGTGTGTATAAGAATATTCGACGTTAGGTGCTGACAAAACTCAAGGCTTAGGTTTATGCCGTAAATAGCAAGAAAGCTACTGGTGAGACAACATAGAAACAACAAACACAGTTAAGGAATAAACACAAGAAGCGCACTGTACATAAAAAAAAAACATAAGAAATTACATATGCAACTTCCAGAACAGCATTGGGAAATATGGTAGTCAAACAGAAATACTCGTGCTTAGAATCCACTTGTCTTGTGTTTCGAACAGTTTACAGTATATGCAAAGCTGAACGTGAATTTACTGACTTGCTCGATGGAATTGACATGGGACGTGTTTTACACAGTGACCATTCTTGTGCAGACATTAGTGTACATATTGCTAATGCTATGAAAGAGATATTAGTGACTGAAATAGTAAGCTAAAATTCAAGATTGGTATAATGATTGACGAATCATCACCAACAAGTAAAAAAAACAGCTTTAATTATTTGCATCAGGGCTGTATGGCTGGATTTTCCTGCATTGTTTAGACACTTTGGAGTTGCTGAGAATGACCTTAAACGTAGCTCATCAGAAAGAGCTCAATACCGAAGCCTGAAATAACGTATAACTGATGTTTCAATATTAATCAATACGGGTTTAATGTTGGATGCACTCACAGGGTTGGAAGATTTGTCGCTGGAACTACAAAAACGGTCGGTGACGTTATCAAAAGCACACAAACTAATTGATCGAAAACATCTAGTATTTCATTCCATGATCAACAACCCAGGAGAATATCAGACAGCACGGGATGCGGCAAATACACTGTATTTTTGTGGTGCACCCTTTACAGAGGGTCAAGGCCACCTCGATTACCAGGCATTTTATAATAGGTCGTCAAGAGATTAATGTCGCGTTTTGGAACACTTTCATTAACCCCCCCCCCCAAAAAAAAAACGTACATCACGTATAATAATTAAACGAACCACCTAAACGTCACGTTAGTGTAACCTATATAATGTATAAAGTTTAGTATCTTCTAATCCCTTATAGTGATGACAGACTACGAGACACATTCGGCATGTAATGCTGTTTGAATACAAAAAGGGAAATAATGCCTCTATAGCCACAAAAAATTTCAAAGAAGTTCATGGAAATGTTTCCAACGTTCGTAAGTGTCAACGATGGTTCAGCAAATTTCGTTCAGGTGGCCTAAAATATTAAGTGATGTAATAGTTTTGCATTTTCTCTTAAGAAACTTAAAGTAACCTAAAACAATATATGACCTAACGGTTTTAGTTTTTGTCTGTAAACGTACGGTAAGCTAATACACAAAGTGATATAACAATTTTGAAGATTATCTCTTATAGGTTGTGACCTTATAGTTTTCAATTTATTCTGTAAGAATAATTAAAGTAACCTCAATGATTTTCACTTTAATATTTAACCATATTTAACGTAACCAAAACATTAGGCGACGTAATGTTTCAGTTGTTTCTGTATACACATGGTAAAATAAAACAGTAGTTGACCTAAGGGTTTTTTATTTTGTCTGTAAACGTACTTAAGATATCCTAAAACACTAAGTAGTATAATGGTTTCAAATTTAGTTTTGTAAACATGTGGTTACCTAAAACGCTGTTCTTAAATGAACACGTCAGTTTTCATAGCGATGCCTAAGGCACTGCCTAATGGCACTGTTCTCGTGGGCTGTGTTGTTTTACTAGAAGAAATATTAACAAGGATACCTATACTTTGTAAATAATAAATTAAATAAATGTTATTGGGCGTAAAATCTAAAGCGGCAAGTATAAAAACTTTAATTGTTGTTGAAAAATTGATACAACATTTTTAAGCACATCAACTTAATATTCGTTCCACAGATTAAATTGAAAATAATTACAGCGACTGTACTCTTTAGTTTCTAGATATAAAACTGCACGCTCATTTTTGTTGTTCAGAACAAAGCTACGCAATGGGCTATCTGTGCTGTGCTTACTATGCATATCTAAACCCGTTTTTTAGTGTTATAGGCCTTCAGACTTACCGTTGAGCCACTGGGAAATGATGGCAAACTATAAGTATAAATGAATCTTCTTGTTGTAAATACGTGCTACTTGCATCCTTGGTTATAATAGAAACCAAAAATTACATCCATAGCCTATTGATAATATATTACTAAGGTTTTGGCATGGTGACTTGTAGTATGATGATGTTTTGTTGTATAGTTTGATGAAATTTAAATATTTTGTCCAATGTAAAGCAAAAGTGGTATATTAGTTTCAACAAAATTATTCCTGCCATTTTGTATCTCATTGATTTTCACTGAGGTTGTATCTACTACATATGCATATATATATATATTAAAGTCATATATATATTAAAGTCATCATAGTAGTTACTTACTTGCTAACACATAATCATCACCAAGGTAATTACTAACCAACAATCAGTCATCATCATAGTAGTTGAGCCACTTATCTGTTTCTTCTTGGAGCCTTATTGTTCATCTTGAAGTGTAGTCATTGATTGTATGTATGTATATGTGTGTGTATATATATATATATATTCACTTAACTCTACTGCTATAAAAGTTGCTATAAACTTATAATTCGTTTAAACTATGTTAAAAGTGTTTACAGGCTAAATACGTTTACAAACTAAGTTTTAAAATTTCTCTAAAGCCGGTAGGTTTAGAATTTTTATATAATCTATACTTATATATAAACTTACTTTGTAAACATGCTTTTAGCTACTTAGAATTTAAAAACATTTATATGGAAATAAATGTATATGTATTAAATATTTAATATCTGTTTATACACATAAATAAGACATTACTTGTTATTACCAGTTCCAATCCAGAAGAGACATTAATACATTTGCCAGTGTTAGTCACTAATATAATAACGAACATTATATATAGTACATTAGCCAATGATAAACAACGATATCTGTTACTATACTCACCAATAGTCGACACAACGGTTCCAACAAAATAGAAAGCTCCAGACATATCCCAACGAGGACGTTTGTTGACTAAGCCAGCCTGAGAAGCGTATCCAAATTCCCGCAGTAACTCTTCCAGGTCGGTCTTGTTCACTGTTTCGTTGTACTTGACCCAGAAATTGGCCAGTACCGTTTTGTAGTGCTGGCGGCTAAGGTGCTCGTGGCCACTTTCTGCAAAATGAAAGGCTACTGCTCCAAATAACATATACGCTACCATACAAACAGCAAGTAAAAGAAAACGCGCGTTGTCCTCGTGAAGATGAATGATTTTACAACAGCCCCGTTTTGTCTGGGCCATCACACTTCCAGGCCTGACCTTAAAGTTCAAATACACATAGATTCTACATTTTTGGCGAATGGACAATTCTCCAACTGTTGAAATAAGGTCGTGTAAAAAGAAGCTTTTCCATCTTTTGAAAGCTTTGATGCAACTAATAAATCTCAGGGCACTTAGCTGAAAACACTCTAGCGGAGGCAGTATTTCCTTTCAGGATACAGCTTACCGATACTAATTAAATCTCTGCATGACCATATTCACTTGATAGAATCAAATTCAAATGTTGGAAAGCGTGACATTTTTGTAGGGTTGGAGAATCCCTAAGATGTCTTATCTTCAATAACACGAGTAATACTCTGTTGCAAATTATCTCTGAGTAGGAGGCAAGAAACTGTTTTCGTTGAGCTGTAACTGTTGTTTGCCAACTACATGTGAAATTGAATGTTAGATCCATATAATGTGCTCGAGTGGAGGTCACTTTCCCACTAGTCATACTTGCTAACTGTCTAGTATACTGAAAAAAATATTCAGCTTCATGTCAACAAGTTCACGCAACCACGTGCTGTTGTTCAGACTCGTCCTCCCCTCACTCTGACTGACTATGTTGCTGTCGCTTGTGGATTATGAGTCTCGATCTCAGCGCCACTACACGACTATTCGAGAATTTCTGTCAATCGATCAGGTTTCGAAAGGCCGCGACAAACAAATATTTTTCTGTGTTGATCAAGAGTAAAGCAGAGAAGATGTATGGTTAGAGGTTAGGAGAGTTTGAAGAAACAATCCTGTAGTCAGTTTTAGTTACAGTGTTTCGTTCATCCAATGGGAAATCATTCGGTCTTCTCTTTTGTCGCAATAAGAAATATACAGTTGTTTTTATAAAGAGTAAATTCAGAATTTTAGATAACACTTGATACATTAAGATGATAAAAATATGCCTTAAAGCTGCTCTCAATTACAACGTTGAAATAAATCGTTTAAGGTTGGAATTTCCGCCTACATTACTGGCAATTCACTTAAATTCACTACCAGGCTATATTATTTAAATATAACGTATATATTTAGAAATTTCTATGACAGCTTTTTGTTCAGTAGGGGATGTTATGAAATAAATTTGTTTTATGTATGATATTAGCTGTTCATTGTCTACCTAGACTCGATGCAATTAAGTAAAACATTTAATGGCCAAATAACTAGATGTTATTAGCTAACTATATGGCTGTCAATTACTCCCCCATCATAATAGATGTCATTATGACCACTGCCTGATTTTAGATGTTATCATTTAGCCACAATTCGATGTTAACTTTTGTATTAACTTCTCACTATCTATCTGAGATTCCTCCTAGATTTTGTGTCAAAAAATAAATCTATATAGTTTCAGGTGGTCAAAGTATAACGATAAATAAAAGCAGCTTGCCAATATTTGACTATCGTTATGAAATTAGCTCGTCCATATATGACTATGTGTTAAGAATCTGCCATCAGCAGACAAAGGATTATGTTAACTGTCACTATCTTCCCATGGGTAAACTTAAAGGAGCAAACGCTGACTACAACTGGCTCACTATCTTAACAAAATCAGACTAACTAAGAAACAAAAGAAACATATTTTTGAGCTATTTTTACCACAAATCTGTAAAGAAATCGTTAAAAACATTTCATAATATTTGAGGAGATATGATAAAACAATATTGTTTCAATAAACAGATAGCTAGACATGGTTTTTATATTAATAAAGTGACATGCAGTTCATTATTGTTATAAGACAAGGCTGAATGAACAATTATTGTTTTGAGAACCAAACAGAACAAATAATCATTGCTTTGAGAACCAGCCAGAACGAACAATCATTGTTTTCAGAAACAGATCGAAGAAATAATCATTGTCTTAAGAACCATTCAGAACGAATAATTATTGTTTTGAGAACCAGACAGAACGAACAATCATTGTTTTAAGAATCAGCCAGAACGAACAATCATTGTTTTCAGAAACAGATCGAAGAAATAATCATTGTCTTAAGAACCATTCAGAACGAATAATTATTGTTTTGAGAACCAGACAGAACGAGCAATAATTGTTTTGAGAGCCAGACAGAACGAGCAATAATTGTTTTAAGAACCAGCCAGAACGAACAATCATTGTTTTCAGAAACAGA